ACATCAGTATAGCTGCATCACTCAGGGATGTAAACAATCCATAGCCCTGCATATGACATAGTTATACCAACCTAACACCTGGTATAGAGACTGCAATGCTAGCTTCTCCTAGCATGGTAGCTGCCTTCTCTTGCAGAAGTGGGTTAACTACACCTATGGGAGAAGTTCTAGTACAGGATGATTAAAGGATTAGAAAACAACCCTTATCAGGAGAAACTCAAGGATCTCCATCTATCTCACTTATCAATAAAAAAAGTTGGGTGAATTCATCACCATTTTTAAGTACTGAAGGGGGAATAGAAATTTAATAGAAGGCTCTGCAAGCTGACAAACAAAAATATGACCGGAAACTGACGAGAGACAAATTCAAATGGCAAATAGGGCACAAATAAAATAATGAGTCATTAGCAATTGGAATAACTTATGATGCTTGTGGTTGATTCTCCATTACTCAAAAATTTTAAATTGAGTTTGGTTTTTCTTTTCTAAAAAATACACCATAGTCAGGTCCGCCAACGGAGGGGGACGATGTAAAAGGGCAGTTGCTCCAGAGCCCGGCAATTCACAGGGGTCCAGCGCAGTGGCAGTGGCTGGAGCCCCAGGCCCCTTTGAATTTCTGCAGAGTGTCACACTGCATGGTCCGCTTGGCTCTGAGGTCTGGGAGGTTGAGCCAGCACTGCGCTTTGGGTGGCCCTGAGAGCTGGCTGCCCCCAACCTCAGGCCTTCCACCTGAAGCCCTGCCCCTTCTGGGGGCACAGATCCAACCCCGCAAATGCACTTTACCTGGGGGTCTGCAGAAGCTATCGGCCCCCCATTACCGAAGTTCAAACGGGAATTAATTCAGGGACGTCCTTTGGCCTTGTTAGATAGGAAGTCGGAACTTAGGGTTCTACCGGACCCTTCTGGCCTTAAAATCTATTAATCTATGATTATAGCAAATAACAGTCCCTACCTCCAGAATCTTCTGTACTTCTATATGACACATCATTTACTCAGGCATGTTTATACTGCAGTCATATTTCATACTGTTCCACCTCAATAGTATGAAGTAAAGTAGAGTAAAATGTCTGTTTTTCACCAGTCAGTAAGATGCCAGCTAGCTACAAATATATTTTTTTATAATTAATATACAATTATAGTTTCTTTCTTTAGCTTCATTTTATAAATGTATGTCAAATTATCTCAAAGGGTTAAATTAATAAAATGTTTTTAATAAAAACTGAGCTATTAATTATGTTCATTTTATGCCAGAAATTATTAATCTAATTATAATGGGAAATTATTTAAACAATGTAGCTGAGTCATTTTTCCCAGTGTTACAGAATTTTAGTGTCAGGCATGCTAATTATGTTGTCTGGCTCTTACTGGCCGATATTGCTTTACAAAAATAAAGTTATTTTGTGCAGTTCTTTTAGATCTAAAACAATTGAACTGTAAGAACTGTACTAGAAACTTAGAAAACCCTCAAGTAATTTTTAAGTCAATATTACTGCATGCAAACCAAGAATAGCCTTTTAACAATATATATTAGTTCCTTTATTTTTTTCCACAGTTTTATAGATGAATTTGCTGCTCATGAGAATGAAAGAAAATTGTAATAAAGGTAGCCACTAGGAAGTATCTCTCTTGGGTCTTTCTTGAGGCAAGATTGCCAATCATGTTAAACTGTTTGCTGGTTTCATTAGAGTCAATAGGATTTCAGATAAATGTGTGGAGCAGTGATCCAGTGGATCCATTCTCTAGGCAAAGGCTTGTTATTGAGATTTTTTTTCCATGACCAACCCTGTGTTTTCCCCTGAACTGCAGCCAGCAGCAGCAATACTCATAACCTATTTAATTGTTCGTGGTAACCAGCATCCTCTGTTGTCTCCTAAAAAACCACCCATCTTCCCAAGATATCTGACCTATGTTTCAGTAGCTGAACCAGTAGTTCCATCAGAAGAAATTTTAGCGCACTCCCACACCCAAGCTCCCAACCTACACCAACTCTGCTTTCCCCAACTTTTACATTATTTTTAAAAGGAACTGATATTATTAAAACTTAGTAGTTATAATAAACAATGCTACTTTTTTTACCCCGGATCTACATATGACAGACACAGCCTTTTGAAAAGTTAGCCCCAGAAGTTTTATTGTGATATCCACCTGTCAGGTCAAGACATCTTCTAGGATGTGCCTCAAAATCACAATTAAACAGTAATGATAGAATTCGGGGACCATCTCACAAGAATATTGATCACAGCTCACTATCTCTCTTACTAGACACATTGCTACCAGCCTCAAGAAAACCTGGCAGTTAAAGTGAGATAGCTCACAACATAAGATCAGTGTTGAAGCCAAGTATCTGAATCCCTCAGTTAGAGAAGTGGACAGCAGATGGCAGATTCCTGCTAGCTAATGCTGATCCCATTTGGAGTTGTCAGTCCCCACTTCCTGGCGAGCAAGATCCAGCCCCCACATCATGGAAATAAGGCTGCCTAGAGGCAATAGAGAGAAAATGGGAAATATAAAATACTTTACTTTTTTTCCAAAGTCAAAACAAAAACATATAATTATTGTTTTGCCACCCTGATGCCTCCTAAATTTGAAAACTTTCAGTAGGGAGTAGAATTACACTTTCAGAGTCTGTTTTGCCCACCCTTCTCATTATTTGCACATAACAACAATTAAAAGCTGAGGTTAAACTTTCCAACCATAACAAGAGAAAAATAGGTCAATGTTATGGCCTGAATCAGCCAAACACTTGTGGGTGTGAATAGTCTAATCAAAGGGACATAGTTCCGCTGGATTGAGTTACAATCCCATGGGACAATCTTGTGTGTAAAGTTACTTATGTGCATACATTCTTACAGGAGCTGGATCCAAATGAGTGAGGGATCATAAATCTGTATTAAGCAGCAATTCAAGAACTTGCTGGAATAGTTAGAGGGCATTTCTTCCATGGATTTTTTTAAACATAATTTTCAATTATCTGTAATCTGAAAAAGACAATGTTAAATGTAAATATATAGGAAAAATGAGTCATTAGAACAAGAGTCAGAGGGTGTGGGACAGTGGAAACTATAATATATTTATTAGAGTCATATCACCACTATTTCTGTGCCTAGAAAGAAGGTTACTGTACTTCCAAGATAATTACACTTAAAAAAATAATGACAGTTACTGGCTCTGCTATGACTTTGGTTTGTGTTGGTTCTCATGTGGGAGTTATGTAAGTACATGGTGCTGTGACGTGGTTGAATAAGAATGTTTTTTAGATGGTAATCTCTGAAGCATTACCAAGGGAAGAGCTTCTTTATTAAAGAACAAAAAACAAAAAAACAGCAACAAAAAAACTTGAGCTTACAGGCATGTGAGATCATTTGAAATGCACGACAGACTCTTCTTTTTCCGCTCTGGTAAATTTCAAGATCTGGCACCACTGTAAACAACCAAGTTGCATACTGCATCCAATTTAATCAATAATTACAAAACATTTTTGGGGGAAATGTTCAAATAACACAAAATTCTCAAGGGTATTTCCTGCTCTGGAAACTGCACAAGCTCCGGTAGCATTGAAATTCATGTACTGAGAGAAGACAGCACCTGCAGAAAGTCTGATCTTTGGCCCTTGCAGGTTATTGAATTTGGATGATCAGAGCCTGCTTCTCCTCTAACTTGTATCAGTGCAAATCAGAAGTAACCCCACTGAAGCTAATAGGCCAAAGTCTGATTTAAACTGATTTAACTCCACTTACTTTAATAGAGTTACTCCCATCTTATATTAAAAACAAAATCAGTCCCATTAAAATCAATGAAAAGAAAACCAGGCCATCTGTATCTGTCTGGGCTAAAAAATGCATTATATATTGACAACACAATGTCTACATTTAAGATCTCTATGTAGATATCTATGTTTAGACAAAGTAAATTTGCATATGTTTTGATATTTCATTTATGGAAGGAGGTTAATTAAGAATTCAGCTTCTTAAAAATATCTATTTATTTAGTGGCAGATACTGTGCACTTATCATAATTTCTAATAGCACTTACTATAACAGATTTAAAGGAACAAAATAATAACTATTATTTAATTCCAATTTCAGAATAAAAAACCTCCTATATTATAGACTAGCACATTGAACTGCTCTGTAGTTCTCACATGATTTCTATCACAAATCAAAATGCTGAAAGGGTTATTCACAGTTCAACATTTTTTCCATTATAAAACTACAGTAAATCATGTTCTTAAGTTAACTGCCTGTAATCCAGAGAAGAGGTGGTTCAGTCACCCTGAACAAATTCTCTGTGGCTGCTCTCCTTATTTGCAAAGAAGGACATCAGTTCTGCTGTATTTGAGGCCTTCTGTGCCCGGAAAAGAGAAGAAAGGCAGCATGTAGTCTAATTAGTAAAGCATGCTTAGTTGGCTTATGTTCCTTTCTGCTCTGCAGGAATTTTTTCCATTCATCCTACCAAATAATAAAGTATTTAACAGAGGCAGAGAGAGGGGAAATAATTTACCCAAGGTCACTGGTAGAGCCCAGACTAGAGCTAAGATCTCTTGAGTCCTAGAGCAGGGCACCACCCACTAGCCAACACTGTCCCTCCTTAAACATAGGGTCTAGTTTATATAAAAGATGGCTCCTTCCCCTTACCGACAAGTTTTATATTCTAGAATGATACGGTCTTGGTATATACTTCAGTATAGTGAAATATAACACACGCATACTTTTTTATCTTCTTCCAAACAGTGTTGCATCTCAAGGTGAATTCTAAGGCAACTTCCCATTCTAACAATCTTTCACGTTGAAATGTTTTATCCTAATCCGAACTACCTAGTTCGTGCCACATGTAGCCGCGGGCACGGAGTCCGAACTAGCGGACATTTAAAAATGGCGGCGCTCGGCAATATGCAAATGAAGCCTGGGAAATTCAAATCCCGGGCTTCATTTGCTACTCCAGTTGCCTACATTAACCACCCTAGTTTGAACTAGGGTGGTAGTGTAGACATACCCAAACAGACTGAGTGGAAGAGAATCTGCAGACACTTTACTGTGCGTGTTCATAGGTCCTCCTTCAGTATGTCCCCACACTGTGACAAGCTTTTTAGAACTTCAGTGTTGTGCAAAACAAAGCTGGTGTAAATGGTCATGGATTCATTGACATCAGCGGAGCCTAGGGTTGCCAGGTGTCCGGTTTTCTCCTGGACAGTTTCGTATTTTGGTCTTCTGTCTGGTAAAAAAAACAACAGAGAAAAGCAGCTGTATAAAATGTCCGGTATTTTCTGTTTTCCTCAGATGAAGGCCGGTAGTGTGTGCAAGGGCAGGGAGAGTGAGGAGTGCAGTAATTTCAAAAAAGATGGCCGGCGGCATGTGCGAGGGTGGGGGGAGTGAGGAGTGTGGTAATTTAAAGGCGCAGTGACCTTTTTTTTTTCTTTTGCTCAACCAATTTTTCCCTGGCTGTTCGGGATTTTTTGTGAAGATATCTGGCAACCGTTGTGGAGCCATGCCCATTTACTAGAGGTCTGGCCCAAAATCATTAATATAGGATTACGTTATGAAGGCTGCATAATGATAACACTGTTAGTGACAAACATTTTAGGGCCCTGAGTTGGCAAATGGAAAATAAATGAGTTATTAGTGATTAATAGAGACTTGGATGCTTAAAGTTAGGAATCTAAATCCATATTTGGGTACCTAAATAGAAGTGGACTGATTTTCAGAGATGCTGAGAAACTGCTATTCCCAAAGTGGTTAACAGGAGCTGCAGTGTGTTCATTACCTATACAAAAAAGGACACTTTTATTTAGGTACCTAAATATTGATTAGCACCCTAATTTGAAAAATTTAGCCATAGTTCAAAGAAGGAACTGACGTTTATCTAAAGTTTTAAACCATTTTCTTCTATAAATCTCTTCGGCCTTTTTGAAAATTTTTACCGCATAGTAAACACAGAAAGAAAAGTATCGCTTGGATGATTTTAGCATTTCCACCTTTTGGTCACAACCAAAATCAGGACATTAAGAGATATTCAAAAATAAAACAAATAAGCCAACACAATTTATTAAACTTCTTCACAGCTTGAAAAATGTCCCTGTATGTCCAATTTGAACTCTGAGAAAAGATTGGTTCTGAGGCTTGCAAGCCACAGGTGTCTCTTTAATGTGTTTCCTGCGACTGTCTGCAGCACATGATATTAAAACACTGTATGATTTAAATTTTAATCAAAGTTATTAATCAATCAGGATATTTTACTATGTTAATAACCAATTAAGTTATCAATTAGCACTAAAGTTAACTTATTTGCTGTGAGATTAGAGAGAAAGCACTATCATAAATAAAACAATGAATTCACACTACCATGGCTCTTCTGGATAAGTTGCTAATTTGGCTCCTGAACCACTGAGGTCTGAGTATCACTGCTTTACATTAACTTGTTTCCACTTCCTCATTGTGATGAGTTGCTTTACAAGTGCTAGATAAAATATTGATACTTTTATTAAGAAAACAGTTGTGTCATGTAGTTAAAACTAGAGCTGGTCACAAATTTTCCAGAACAGTTTTCCATCTGAAAATTGGGACCTGACAAAATCAAAATGTACCACAGGAATATATTGATTATGTCAAAATTGTGATTGCAATATGGTTGATGTGTTTTTGTTTCAATATAATTGAAATGGTTTGTTCTTACTTAATACACTATACATTCCAGAGTCCAGGTGTTCCTAATTCAGGAATACCTGTGTTATGGACCCTGGCAGGTGGAGGTGGAAGCAGTTCTGCACTTTGTTGCTCTCCCTCACCCCTCAGCTGGGGAACTAGCAGCTCAGTGATGCAATCTGCTGGAGGCTATGAGAACGACCATGGTTGCGGGGAGGGGTGCCTGAAAGCAGCAAGAGTTGCAAAGTGCCAATTAAGCACCCTACCCCTAATCCCCCTCACTTTTTCCCTGGGGGAGAGTCCACCATTGGCCAGGGCCAGTGCAGAATTGTACTAATTCACCAAGTCTGTGAGTCTTCATCCTGTGGATAGGTGCTATTGTTCTTTATCAGGCTTTGGAATTTGTTGGGAGTCTGAGTCTTTGTGGATGAATCATTGATATTTGTATTGCCTGAAAGGTCTCTGACGCTGTCTTACTGAGGGGATGGTCTGTCCAAGACAGTGGCTGGGGTGTAAAGCCTCTCTCCTTGACATCTTGACCTAACATCAAATCCCGGGCGTAACCAATTAAGTGGGCTGAAACAGAGTTAACCCATGAAAGTCCTAAGGGAGGCAAGTGTGTAAATGAGGTTCTGGGCTTTTGCATCTGTGACCTTGTCAGTGTGTGTTGAAATCTCCCAGGATGACATGGCTGAGTTATTTCACTGCCATTGCCACATTTCACCACCATTGCCAACAAGGAGTAAGCTCCTTTATGAATGCTTTTTTCTGTGATGAACATACAAACTAAGGTGGTGCTGGAATTATTCAAATATTAGAAATTACTACTATTACTATGGGAGACTAGTAGACACTAATTTATCTACAATTTATCTTTTACAAAGTCCAAAGGAGAAATGACATGTTCTAAAATTTCTCTAAAAATGCCTAAAGCCTAAAAAGAAGCAGTCTGTACACCCAGCCCAGTAACAAAGTATTCATAAGCATGTGATCACTACACTTATACATAGGCAAAATCTAGAGGAAACCATCTCATTTGGGCATATTCCAGCATGATCAGGTAGTGTCTGACAAAGAACTCGCAAATGTATAACTCTTTTTATAACCTTTAACAAATCAGCGATGTTATTGCCAATTAATGACTTCAGCTAAAACTTTTTTGAAACAATTCACTCCTCATTCCACTCTTAATCCGGATAAGATTTACAACCTCCTTTCTTCCCAAGGACTTGCTTCCCCTCCTTGATGATCAACAGTTTTTCCATTGCACCTGGGTTCACACAGGCCCTAATTTTTGGAGATAGCACTGGTATGTGGGCTGGCAAGGTTTATGTTGGCTCCATTTAAGACAGATTCATTTTGTCTTATTTAAAACCATCTGCAGTCACCCTTATCAGTCAATGACCTTCTTTTTAGAAACTTCTCCTTATCCCATTAGTTATTCTTTGAATTAGGCATCCTCCCAACTTAATTCCTTCTGACTCTGTAACTTAATATTTTCATGGCCTTCCTTCTACTTGCTAGTCAGGGCCTTTCTTTACAACACACATGCATTTCCTTAACAAAACAAGCCAACTTAATTTAATTCTTTAATTTCATATTTCTCTTACAGGTGGCTTTAGCTCTGGTTTCTTTTCTCAGATGAATAAATCCAAAGGAAATATTCTTACCTGAAGCACCTCTCTTGCATTTGATGTTTGTAGAGAAGATAAGTGAAGTGCTGCCTGCTATTTTGTCTTTTCCAGGTGTGCGATGTGCCAAGTACCCTGGGAGACAAGGGATGCTAGAATAGGGCTTGCAGTGTCATCCAGCTATTTTTCAGGGATCCAGGCCTAGTCTACACTGGGAGTTTAGGTCCAACTTAGCTGCATTAGGTTGATTTTCGAAATGATTAGTTCACGCTATCAAGTCCGTTCCATTGACTTTAAGGGAAGGCTATATTGGGTGCTTCATGGTAGATGACATCTTGTATTTTTTGTTGAGTGTCACTGTGCTCAACTCTGTACAGAACATTAAAAGGACAAGGATTCTAATTCTCATTTCTCATACGGTGGTGTCAAGCTCGAGTAACTCTACTGAAATTGAAGGAGCTACAATAGTGTAAAACATCAATGGTGTCAATACATGCTTGGGTACCGGTGAGTTCAGGGGTACTTCCCTTTCCCTTCCCTCAAGTAGTGTGCCAGGAGCCAGGTGAGCAGAGTGAACTCAGGCTCCATCCCGGCTTGCTGCTCTGTCTTCAGCGGAGAGCTGCAGCAGGGAGAAGTGCCCCTCCCCCAGCCAGGCAGCTGTATGCATGAGTCCTGAGCCCCTGGCTGGGTGGGGCTCATTAAGCAGCTGTGGGGCTGTGCTGCCATATAGCATAGAAGGAACTTTGGTACTGATCCCTGTAATCCCTGCACAATCCCTCTGAGAACACTCCCATTTGATGATTATTCCCCATTTGTTCATAGCAGGTCTGTGCTGTGATCTTTGTATCACAAAAAATCTGTCCCATCCTTCCCTTTGGGTACTCAGTCAAGTTTCTGGTTTCAAGTTTCTAACATCAATTTTCTCTAAGTTACACGAAATGCACCAAATTGGTCTTGTCTTCTTTTTTGTGGGAATTCTGCTGGATCGCTTGACAACCCTACTTAGATAGAACAGCAGTAGCAGCTAATAAAAACTGTACTGAAATATAAAATAAAATAATTATTTTCAGAGGTAGTGAATTCAATTTTGCTTTGTCTACACCGCCGGGTTTTGCAGGCAGAGAGTATGCAAATGAAGCACTGATTAGCATTTTGTCACGCTTCATTTGTATCATCTATTCGAGCCATTTTTGTGCAAAAACAAGCAGTGTGGACATTTTTTTTGTGCAAGATCCTGGAGAGGCATAAGGATCTTGCACAAAAAGAAGGTTTTGAGCAAAAAGAAAACATCCACGCTGCTTGTTTTTGTGCAAAAACCCCTTGTGCAAAAATGGCTTGAATAGATTATGCAAATTAAGTACAACAAAATGCTAATCAGCATTTCATTTGCATACTCTCTGCTGGCAAAAGCCGGCAGTATAGACATAGACTTTCAGTCCATTCTTCAGCCTTGTGAATGCATCACAAATGATACTATCCCAAGTAGAATCACAATGGGTCCATTGCTGCTCCATATAGAAGGCTGAAAAGGCAGGATCAAATTACTTGATATTAATGAAAGCCAAAATTCTTTTTGTTGGAAGAAAGACATGAAGCATGAGACTGATAAGATTTGGAATGGACAGCTTTGACTAGACATAGCTGTGTGAGCTATTTTTAAAATAGACAGCTCTGATTTGCTAGAAAACAAAGGGGCAGGCTGAAATGCAGACTGTGGGCTTTATTTTTGGTTCCTTGGGCTGGAAGACAACAGTGGATGGAATGATCTAAAATTAAGTCTGCAGTATAAAATGTCTGCCTTTCCTTGGAGAATAAAATCTATATCTAAAGTTGCAAATGTGTGGTGTAGGTAGACTGCAAAGGGAAAAATATAACTTCATTTTGATGTAGTGTTACCCAGTAGTTAATAAATCATATCTGTGGACTTCATATGAAATGATTTCATAGGATCTCGTCTTCCTTTTCCCTTGATCTCTGCATCTCTCTGCCTTAATCTAGTCCACTCTCCCTCCTGTTCTTACTCCCTGCTCTTATTCTCTTTTCCCCTGTTCTTTCTTCCATCCTCTCCTTCTCCTGGCTTTCTCTCACTCTCTTTCCTTTCCCTCTCTACTTCAGCAGACCCATGGATCACTGAGGTTCCACAGAGCACTTGCTCACCACCAGCAGAAAGCTGACTGATTGTATGGTGCCAGCCTTCCATCCTGTGTCCAAGTACTACATTGCATTAAGGACAATTGGAAATACATTCAATGTTTTTCTAATATATTTCTATGTACAAAATTGCCACAGGGTGATTATGGGGTTGTAAACAGGAGGTGAAGGGAGCTGCTCTAATGCAAATTGCATGAGACAATCTCTCTATCACACTGGTGGGCCACCTGCGGCCCATTGGGATTCTGTGGGTGTCCTGAGAGACCATTTGTTTACTGTTGCCCATATACAGAGTTGCCTAATTCTGCTAGTTTCCATTCAAGTAGTTTTTTCTTACTGGTTTTACTAAAGTGACACTAAAGCAAGGACACATGAAATGATGTTGATTGCACAAACCATTGACTGCAATAGCCATGTGTTCCCTCTGCATCCAAAGTGCTGTTATGGTTCAATCAGCACATCCCGCAAATTCTAGGTATATAAGCCTGATCATGCCACTGATTCCTGACTTTTTGCTCTCTGGGGCACCCCATCACTCTGACATGCTGGGCCAGATCCTCTGGTCTCCCCCAGACAAGGCACATTGTTGGGGTAGCTGCTCCGCTGGAGAGCAATGCAGACACTGAACTACTTCAGTTCTGGGAGAATGCAGTTCTAGAGCACAGCACCCAGGAAACCAACCCCAAAAATAGATCAAAACCACAAATAAATCTGTGGTGTGGTCACATGTTTATCTAGGACCAACCACCTTCTGGACTTAAAGGACAAGTTGTAAGTTAATCACCAAGTCGCTAAGGCTTCCTGGGGGGAGGAGGAGGAAGCATACCAGTTATGGCTTTTATTAGTACATTTAAAACTATAAATAGTCTCATACTTCATATTTCTAACTTCACATGTAAGAATGATATATGCTTTAAAATAGGATATAGAGATCCAGCAGATTGCAACATTAAAATTAAAATAGGTCACACAAGGTATTTTGTCCAAAGCATCTCTGAGTTATACATATTTATATTCATGAGCAGGGCTCGACAAACAATGTAATCTACTCACCCATGGCGAGTAGATTACACCCCGGAAGAGCCAGCGCAGAGCGATCTGCGCATGTGTAGAACGATCTGCGCATGCGCAGAGCGCAGAACCGCGTGGCTGGCGAGCAGGGCTCTCTGCCGCTCGGCGAGCCCTGTTCGTGAGCCAATTTTCATAAAGCATGGGGAAGAACCATCACAACTGTATTAGTTATGACAGTCTTGCAGACCACTGAAATGAAGGAGGGCCATTCATGCAACCCTCTCACAAGCCTCGGTTACCCATCACAGTTCTATTAAGATGTAATCCATATTATGAAAAAGCTTAGCAACCCCTGCCAATGGTCTATGTCAGAAATTATCCTGGGACCAACATGGCTACAGCAGCATTGCACATAATTTTGTCTGTATCAGTTTTGTATTTTGTATGCTTATCATACTGATATTGATTGTGTGTAACTCTGATGGTGCCAGGAAAGTTAATTAAAATTAAAATACCTGCATTCCATCATCTTTGCTCATGCCTCGTAGAAGCCTGATCCTCCAATATGGTGGGAAGCCGAATAGAAGGAAAGCCAGATGGAACAAAGATCTCTGATGGCAAAAAGACAAACAGGTGCTGCTAGGAAAGAATCAGAAAGCTAGGAGATGGATAGGCTGGTTCTGTTGAACTCTTAACTGCTACTGGATCTTCTGTTGCACTTCCCTCTGCACTTCAATCCCTGCCCAAATGAAGCTGCAGCATTACTCAAATTGCAAAATGATGATACTTTTCCGCTGCCATCAAACACTATCCAGAGCTGTCCTGGGACAATGAATGGTGATGAACAAAGAGAAAAAACAGATGTTTTTCATGTAGAAGGTCTTAAAGAAACAAAGCAAAGACATACATATCAGTAGGGTTTGGGGACATAATTGTTTTTCATTGCTAAGAATAAACTGCTTTATATAATAAACTTACAGGAAACTTTAAGGCATACGCTCTAGTCATTTTTCTGGTGCATGTGAGAAAAACTCCCGAAAGTTTCTTTTTGTTAAAGAAAACAATGTGAAAAGCCAGTAAAAGTTAGTGAAAAGCTAGAATTTTGTCATATAGTTCTATGGAATGCCACCCTGAAGCTAGAATTCTTAGTATCTATATTAAGCTCCTCTGTATTTCCTTATGACATAAAAATAGCACCAGCTAGCAGGGATTTCTTAATTGCTCAATGAATGGGACTGCTTTACTCTTTAAGAATGCTGTTAATATAGAAGATACTAAATTCTATTCAGGAAAGGTGTTAGCTAAGTGACAAGATGTGCATGAACATAAAACATATAGTCTGAGTTACCTATGTAATCGTGTAGTTGATTAACCGATTAACCAATTACTGCATGTGTAACTGTGAGTTCTGATTGCCTTGGATGTGCTCTGGATGGAGTTCATCTAAGAAGGGTACCTGAATTTCCAAATTAAAGAATAGATTTCCAGCTGGACATCACACAGAATTAGCTGACTACGGATATGATCCAGTGGAAATAATCCGGTTAGTTGTAACTGTCACGTGTCAAATTACCCAAAACTTGCCTCTTTGTGAGACAGTCATTCACAGAAACAGACAAACCATATAACCAACATAGCTTTGGGAAGCCATTTGAAAAACAAACTGTTCTTCATTTCTACTAGTAGTTAAAAGAGGATCTGGAGTGACAAACGCAATAGCTATCCATTACCTACAGTTGTCAAGGTAACAACAACCTCAAGTCAGGAGAGAGTTTTGTTTGTTTGTTTAACAATTCATTTCTTTCTCTACCATTCATAGGGCTACACTTACACATCCTTCTCAGATTCTCCTTCCAAGACAATCACAACTTTCATTTCATTCTGTGAAAATACATTTCCTCCCTGAACATGGAGATACGTTTACAGATCTTCCTGTTTATCTTCCCACAACCTTTGGCAATTGCTTCTGTGGCTGGGTGTCCGATTCAGAGAAAGTGCAATCCAAACCAGTGATGGCTTGTGTCACCGCCTGTGATGTTACCTTAAGTGCCCCACAATGCATTGCTGCTGTAGTTTCAAACTTGGCCACTCACAGCCAGTCTACAAGCATGCAAGTTTCACCCTCAGTGTCTGTGTGCTAGACTTCCCTTGTTCAGCAGCTTTGACTCCAGCAGCCTGTTTATAACCCCACAGCTTCCACCAGCCTTTGTTACAGCAAGTAAGCTGACCCCAAACTTGTTCAGCAGCTTTGACTCCAGCAGCCTGTTTATAACCCCACAGCTTCCACCAGCCTTTGTTACAGCAAGTAAGCTGACCCCAAACAGTAGTGTGTCTAGACTACAGGGTTTTGTTGACAAAAGTAAACCTCATTCTATGAGGAATAATGTCTTTTTTCGACAGTTATTGCATCCACACTGTGCTTTTTCAAAAGAGAGCGTCTAGCCTCTCTGTTGAAAAAGCAGCTTGATTTGTCGACAGAACTGGCTGTAGTCTAGATGCTCTTTTTCGACAGATACTGTCAACAAAGCCTCTGTTGAAAAAAGCCTGTAGTCTAGACATACCCCAAGTGTTAAGAGTGTCCAGTCCTCTCCCGGAGAGTTCAGAAAAATAATATGGTTTGTGCCTTTAAAGATACAAAACTACATCATGATTTATTAACTTAACAGGGGTGAAAACACCCTTCCCTTGAAACACAGCACTGAGTTAACTTTCTTTCGTCACAAACTATTAACAGAATATACATAGGAGTATACATAGGAGCATACAAAGTATACATACGTGAGTTCAAACAAAAGGAATGAAGATACAAAGAGTTACACAAGTAAAACAAAACATGTTTCTGTAATTCTAAATTTTAATCTAGCAAGATACAGGCTTTATTCACAACAGTTTTCTAAACAGTCATTCTTCCCAGCCAGGGCTGACTTTTCCTCATTTAGACCCTTCCACAAAAGTACCAGGAACTGGCTTCCTTTGTCTTCTTTGCCAACCCATTCTGGGCAAAGAGCCAAGATATCAGTGATCCAGTGCAAACAACTGGGGCAAAGTTGTCAAGGGGAAAAAAAAAAGGACTGACCCTTTAAAAAGAGACCCCGGTCTTCTTTGGTCAAGAAAAAAAAAGTCTGCCCCCTTAAGAGAATGCGTTTAGAAGTTTTTTGGCCACATCAGGCTCCCGCCAGCTGACACTACCTTTAATACTCCATCTTTAATGGCTGCGCCAGACGGCTCCCCGGCCCCGGTGAGCACAGGGAGCTGGGAGGAGAGAGCTGTTTTCGGGGGCCCCTTTACAAGCCACGGGGGGGTGGCTTCACAAGCCACACCCGGGGGCGGGGGGGAAGAGCTGCATGTGGCTCGCAAGCCATGTGTTGGCCATGGCTGTCATAGGGGAAAGGTGTTTACTTAAGCTGGTTTCTCACCTGTATTCAATTCCAGAGACTTCGACCCCACCCCACCCTTCATATTTCTCAGATTGCAAGAGCTCTGCCTTCTTGTGTCTGACTAGTGACTGATGCCAAGGATGGCTTCTGTCTTTCCTTATCTCCCATAGTTCAATGACCTTGTTTCAGGAAGCCCTCCTGTGTGCTCAGGCTGCTTTGTCTATCAGGAACCTGACCTCATGCTTTTTCCCCTTCCTCTCAGTTGTCCATCCTCCTGTATATAAATGGAGCTTCCATTGTTTTGATTCTGTCATGAGAAACTTACACAGCAGTCAGGTAAATAGCTGTATCCCTCCACTATGGGCAGGAACTGTTTCTTCATTCAGCCACACACTTTAAAACATAATATAAATGAGTATTCATCATTCCTCCTACACTGTTAAAACATACACTTCACAATTATATTATTCACCTGTGTGTCACTGTAGCAGTAGGCATCCTTCAGTCTCAAGAGACCATGAGTATCCACCCATGAGAGATAAAGAATTGTATGTAGCATAGTTGTAGCCATATTGGTCCCAGGATATTAGAGAGACAAGGTGGATGAGGTAATATCTTTTATTGGACCAACTTCTATTGGTGAGAGAGGCACAGAGCTCTTCTTCAGTTCTGGGAAAGGTAATCTATGTGCCACAAGATGGAACAGATTGTTTAACTTAAGTTGTTAACACATATTCAAAGGAACCATTCACGTAGAGTGGTCCACCATTAGCATTTAGAAAAGACCTCACTGTATACATTTTTTTATAATGAAGTAGTATTGTGTACAATCAAGCTTGGTCTATACCAAGCATTTATTATTGTTGTTACATCTCTCAGGGGGTCTGAATAATCCACAGACCTGAGCAACATAGCTATACCAACCTAATCCCCAATGTAGTCAGCACTAGGTCAATGGAAGAATTCTTCCTTTGATGTAGCTACTGCCTTTCAGTGAGGCAGTGGTCCTGAGCTGATGGGAGAAGTTGTCCCATCAGCATAGGTAGTGTGTACGCTAAAGCACTACAGCAGTGCAGCTGCCACCATAGAGCTTTAAGAGTAGACATTCCCTTAGTTCAGGGTTTCCCAAACTTTTTCAGCCACAGATCCCGTACAGGGTATTGAAAATTTGGTCAAGTCTTGAAAATATCATGATTTTTAATTCAATAGGTATCCAAATAAATACACAAAGTTTGGGGATTCTATTTGTATTTCTTGTATATTTCTTATGTATTTTTTTCAAGAACAGTATCAGAAAATTAGTACAAAAATAGGGTCATACAACCGTCATTAACATTTTCTCGCAGTGGAGCACACTTGGGGAAACACTGCAGTTGATTCAGTTGCTTAACACTTCAGGTTGAACTCACTATCTTCAGTGTAATCTTTGAAATTGATTTGTGGAAAAGTAGGGTTACCAGGTAGCTTCAGAAAAAATACAGGACACACTTGATGGGGAAGGGACCAGCTGGGACGGGAGTGGGGCTGGCCGGGAGAAGGGGGGGACAGGAAGCAGGGCTGGCGGGAGGGGGGGCTCAGGGGCAGTAGAGCTGGCCGGGGAAGATTGGGAGGACGGCTGGCGGGAAGCAGGGCTGGTTGGGGGCAGTGGGACCGGCCGGGGGAGATTGGAGTAGGGTGTTGGGGGGTGCGGTGCTGGCCGGGGGAGATCAGGAGAAGGAGAACCGGCCGGCAGGAAGCAGAGTTGGCCGTAAGTGGGTCGAGAGGAACAGGGCTGGCCGGGGGAAGGAGTGGGGTGGCGAGAGGATCAACCAGCAGGTAGCAGGACTGACCTGGGCACTTGCAGATCCCAGGGCGCTGACTGTCCCACGCACGGTCCCGGTGAAACAAGAGGAGTCTGGCTACGGCTCCACAACGCACTTGAACAGTGCTCAGGAGCACGGACAGGGCTTCTCCTCCTCCCCAAGGCATCACTCCTATGTCAGATGCAACCAGAGGTCCCCGCGCCGATCGCGCCCCGCCTCCCAGCTATTCCTCCTGCCCCCACCAGGCTTCCATCAGGGGCCCGGCTGGAAAACCAGAAAATATTGGACATTGCACGTGTCCCGTATTTTCTGAATTTTTTTACCAGACAGAGAGCCCAAAAACCAGACTGTCCGGTTGAATACTGGATACCTGACAACCCTATTAAAAAGTAAAACCCAGACTCCTTGCTTTCTTCTCCCTCTCTTGTTAACATGAGATTTGTCTCCACTGCTTGTAACACCTTGGGTCTTTTTATTGTTTATATGTAAACTGAGATAAACACACATTCCTTTGTTTACGATAGCTCTATTTAACAACTCCTCCAACATACTTGGTTTGAACACTGTTTGGTTATAATTCCAGCATATATTGGTAACCTCTAATACCTCTTACATACATACATAACACAGGAATATTAATGACCAGTGAATTATTAGTTTTCAAATGATACCTCATAAGGTATGTTTTGTACAAACATTAATTACAATAGTAATGTAGGGTGTGGATATAGGGTGCTTAGTGTCATACAAGGGCGCTGTACTTTTTTCTCGAGAAGATTGGTTTTGCCTGCCAGAGGATCACTGGAACCGAGAAATTAGGTTTGCACCTGCCTCCTGGTTTGCATATTGATGTAAGGCACAACCCTAAACACAGAGCAGAGATTTACAGAGAAAATTCAACAAGAAACATTACATTCATTTATGTATGAAAATTAAAAGGCCACCTTTGGAGGCTATATATTCATATAATTGAAAATCATTTATCAGACTTACTGGCGTCTGCTATAAACTTCCCTGATAAAAGCTGACAAAGTAGGCAGCCTAAAGGGACATTAGTGTTTTTGTTATGAGAAGCCATCTGAATCTGGAAAAAAAATACACTTTTTTTTTCTTTTCGTGCTTTCCTTTTTCTCTTAAAAGCATGTCATACTTTTTCTTGCTCTGTAGGTTTCTGCTTTAAAGAAATGCTAATGATAACAACAATTCATCACAATACCCCTATTGTGTTATGTTGCATCAAAGGCGCTCATCTAGCCATCCAGTATCACATGGTATTGCCAGAATAAAGCAATACAACTTCTGTTCAGACACAGGTAGGCTGGGGCAAAAATATTCACTTCTATGAATAACAACTGGGTCAATCACGTGTTGCAGGAAGACAGCTGGTACTCCACATGTGTAATACAGCAGTGGGGGGGAAATCTAACCATAATCATCATCATTTTGGCATGTATGGCATTTTTTATTTTCAAAGTATGTTCAACAATTATTCTTTGCAATAGCAAGTCAATGGGACCTCCCAAATTCACGGTTCATTTGGGTCAGTTTTATGGTCATAGCTGTAATAATCAAATTTGTGGTTTTTAAAATACTATTTAAATCTGAAATTTCAGTGTTGTGATTGTAACTGACACAAAAAGGACTTATGGAGAGGGCCACAACATTATGGGGGGAGGGAAGGGTTTGCAGTACTGGAAGCTTTAGTTCTTTGTTTCTGCTGGGGAGCAGTGGCTAATGGCTAGCTGCCAAGCTCTGAAGGCAGATCCACCAGCAGCAGGAGCATGGTATGGTACTGCCACCATTATTTCTGAACTGCAAACTGCCTTCAAGAGCTACCACTATCCAACTGCCCAGTTCTGAATAATCTTTTGACCCCCTCTTCAACTGCCATTTGGATCAGAACCCCCAGTTTGAGAAACACTAGTCTCACCTGTGAAATCTAAATAGTATATAGGGCAAGAGCACACAAAAGGCCAGATTTTGTGATTCACAATGCATTGTTTATGGCCATGAATTTGGTAGGGCCCTATTAAAAAGTCAGGAGATGTTGGCTAATCCTGTGATCATGCCATTACCTCTATTTCTATATATGCCTAAAATTACAAATGATTACAAAGTGCATTCATCAAGCAGCTACAGTTTGCCTCAGACCAATGACAATGCAGTGAGTTTCTAGTCTTAACTCAGCACTGGAAAATATTGTTTATAATCCTCTGTAAATGAACAAAATGCAGGTTGGCGCTGTCACTGCGGATACTTAAATTATGAAATATTTCTCTGAAAGTCCTTTCTATTTCTCTGTTAATGAAAACGGAAGCTGAGACCACTGTAATAAAATATTTTAAAAGCTAATTTTTCAGATAAGCTCCAAAAGAATTGACAGAATTTGTCTTTCTTGTTAGACATGTCATGTGACCAACATATTGCTCTGAAATTATTTAATAAGTAGCAGCATCCCTAATCATGGATACAATTAATTAAATTGCCTCTGTGATTAATCATATTAATCTGATGGCTGAAACCTTGATTCAAAAGGTTTGCTATGTATTCCTTAAGACATTAACCCTCTTTTTTAAAAAAATCAGTAGTGAGTATATCTTAGTGACTTACTGTCAGCTAGTGAATTTTGTGTCAGATTTAACATAAATTGGGGATGTAATAAAACACAAATGCTTTTAATGAACAGAGTCACTTCCATGAACAAAGTGGTGAAATGTTCCCCCTTTTCCACCAGATCAAATTCAGGCTTAAAAGAACAACTAATGAGGAAGTCTAAGAGGTCAGTTAACACTCTGATTGGACAGCAGGACACATATAGCAAAGTAATAGAGAGGTAGCTGTGTTAGTCTGGTCTTGCTGAAACAAAATACAGGACTATACAGCACTTTAAAGACTAACAAAATGGTTTATTATGTGATGAGCTTTCATGGGCCAGACCTACTTCCTCAGATCAAATTGTGGAAGAAAATTGGCATGACCATATGGCCATATGACCTTTATACCAAAGGGATAAAATATGATTTGTCTATTTTATATGTGTTCACTTTTTTTGATTGTATCCCTTTGGTATATATGGTCATGCCAATTTTCTTCCACATATAGCAAAGAAGTTGGTAAATCTTACAGGCCCTCCACCAATTTTTAAGGACAGAAAAGACCTAATATAATATGTGCTCTAATTTTAACTCTGTGCTAGCATAGAAATGCCTACATGTTCTAAGTTTGTCTAGTAGTTCAATTTTAAATTATCAAAAGTATTCTGAGCTTGCTGTATTATAAGCAACTCTCAATGTTCAAAGTTGTTTTCTCTGGATCATTAAGTGGAAAAATGAAGCTGAGTCCTTTTCATCATTCATACGACTCCCAATTATGACCTTGAGTGGTGCTTTAACAAGAAAAAGTATGGTATTTATGCTCCACAGCATAGATCAACATTTGGGACTAAACTATATTATGTGACACTGTGTTCCTTTCAAATTGTAAACTAGATACAGGTCTAAATTTTCATTTGAATTAACTTCATTGATTTTATTGGTGTAACTAAGCCTGGAAGCTCATCCCTAATGCATATGTAACCCAGAGGCACCAAAACCACAGAGAAGAGAGACTGAAGTCTGCTCTGTGGCCTTAGCTGAGAGGAAAGTTGGCTTTTCGTTCATGCTATAGAGGCATATGGCTTTAGCCATTAAGGTCCCAGGTTCAGTCCCTCCTGCCAACAAACTCGTCAGGTTTACACATAGGA